TCCTTGCGAGGTGCACGTCAGTACTGTTACGTGGGCCCATCTTTCTGCGAATACAATTAACGCGTTTGAAACATAATTTGCACAGCTTTGCACATTGTTCAAAATACCTCATAAAACAGGAAAAGCAAAAATTTGTAGTTGATTTTACGAATAAATCAAGGTTATTTATTTTAGAATAATTTGTGTTAAACGTCAGAATAAATATATTAGTAAAGCTCTACAATGAACTGTAAGTGTGTAAGGGCCATTATTCCATCATTCGCAACCTTTGACTCGTCATTCACATTACTGCAAGATGTATAGCGTGCCTCTGTTCAATTGTCAGCATGTTATTGTGCCTTTGTTTATGTGCGACATTTGTGTAGCAAAACCGCATTAAAATATCCGATGACCACAATGTAATTTCAAGTCAGACTTGCACAGAGTTGATAATAAAGGGGCATTAGGAACACGCCAGATCTACACACTTGTTAGCAGCTGTACATGACCAAAATATTCAGAGCCACAAGAGGTTTGGCGTTCAGTACTTGCATGCAGCTAACTAAATTGCGATTTACAGACCTGTTGAGATATAAAGCCTGCTTCTTAAGTATCCAGGATAATATCACTCATATTGGCCATGCAGCAAAAAAGTGATGACCAAATTATAAAATTGGAGGAAGCAACAAATATTTGTAATAGGCAAACAATATAATGGCAATGCTTGTGCAACTTGGATAATCCTGGGTTGTTTATAGACACTTGGACATCGGAAGAAACATCGTCGTAAGTCGCTATTCTAGGTATCTGTTGCCTCCACCGTTTTCACAATTGTTCACATTTTTGGCGTTATGTCGATCGTATTAATCTAATCGTCTTTAATGTTCCTCTGTTTGGTGATATAGCTATGCTTTGGTCCTAACGATGGTCTACTGTCTTGTATTCATCTCAAATATCTGAGTAGCAGTCGACGGGATTGATCAAAAATATCAGAATGATTTAAAAGAAATAAAATAGAGTTTTCCCGAATTAATACCAACATAATAGATCTATTATTTCCTTAAAAACCAAATATATCAGCACTGTTCTGTCAATCTTTTCATCTCCTTCCACTCTTTGATCGTCTACCCCATCAGAACAAATGCTCCGACACGCGTTGCGTGGACGAGAAGCTGTCGGAGCTTCTTGCCGTAGTCTTCTCACCTCTTCATCACGTAACCTTGCATCATCCAGGGATTTTGACTACATTATCGTTGGTGCTGGCTCGGCCGGTTGTGTGCTTGCCAACCGCTTGAGCGCCGACCATAGCAACAAAGTTCTGCTCATAGAGGCCGGTCCTAGTGATCGCAATCGATGGGATTCTTTTCTAATTGAAATGCCGGCGGCGATTCCTATCAACCTTGCGGGGAAACGGTACAATTGGAGCTTTGAAACCGAGCCGCAAGAGTTTCTCAACAACCGTAAAATTTTGTATCCAGGTGGACGAGTCCTTGGTGGATCTTCGTCTTTGAATGCTATGGTTTACAGTCGAGGTCATGCAAAAGACTACGATAGGTGGCAAAGTAAAGGAGCTCAAGGGTGGAGTTACGCCGACTGTCTGCCTTACTTTAAACGTTCTCAGAATCATCAACTCGGGGGTGATGACTATCGTGGGGGCAACGGTCCACTTCACGTAACACGAAATACACAGAAGAATCAACCACTTTTTCAAGCATTTCTTGATGCTGCTGTGGAGGCGGGATACCCTTTCACCGACGACCTAAATGGTTACCAGCAAGAAGGTTTTGGATGGCACGATCTGACCATTTACAATGGCAAACGAATGAGCACGTCCGCAGCTTATTTACATTCTGTGATGGACCGTGAGAACTTAACAGTTATGACTGAAACGTATGTAAATAAAGTAGTTTTCGATGGGAAGAAGGCAATTGGGATTGAAATTGAAGATGCCAAATCAAAAGCTATATCGAGGATATACACGACAAACGAAGTGATTCTTTCAGGCGGTGCTATCAATTCTCCTCAGCTACTGATGCTTTCTGGTGTTGGTGATGCAGACCATTTGAAAGAATTTGATGTGCCTTTAGTACAACACCTGCCAGCAGTTGGAAAGAACATGGAGGACCACGCTGGTGTTAATCTGCAATTTGCGTGCAAACAGCCAGTTACGTTATACAATGCATCAAAACGGTATCTAGGTAATGTATTGAGAATCGGATACGAGTGGTATACGTCCAAGACTGGCCCAGGCGCGACTCCACATTGCGAAGTGGGTGGATTTATTCGCACGTAAGACTTTGCATCTAATTGATAGAGTACATTTGTGTCACTCACTGTGGTCGGTATTTGGTTGTTCAATCGAGTTAGTGCACCAAGAAAAGAGCAGCCTGACTTGCAGATTATCTTTAGTCCCTGTGCTGTAGACCTGCGATACCAGATGCGCGAAGACATCGGCCACGCTATGTCTGGACATATTTGCCTTTTGCAAGGTTCAAACAACGGAACGCTTGCATTGCGTAGTGCCAATCCTCGCGACTATCTGAAAATCGATCCAAAGTATTTGAGCAATGAAGACCAACGCATCACACTTCGAGAAAGTGTCAAACTGACACGTGAAATCTTTGCTCAAGCAGCACTTGATGAATTTACGGGCGGCGGAATTTCTCCAAAAGACAGTGTTCAGTCGGACGAAGATATCGACGCGTGGCTACGCAAATATGTTGGAGGAGAGTTTCACGTGTCGTGTACTGCTCGTATGGGAAGTGACGAGACTTCAGTTGTGGATATACAAACTCGCGTTCACGGATTAGAAGGTCTGCGAGTCGTCGATGCGTCTATCATGCCAAATATTGTGAGTGGCAATACAAATGCAGCAGTAATCATGATCGCAGAAAAAGCCGCTGATATGATTCTAGGCAAGCCAGCGCTGCCAAAATCAAATGTTCCAGTCTATCAACCAAGCGACTGGCAAACTTGTCAGCGATAAAAGCGGGCGCGGTGATCAGCTGGTTTATCGAATAGTGTTTACCAATTCTAGTATCGGGCTCCGAAATTAGTTTGGGACTTGACTTTTATCTAGATCACCAGTTATTATTCTTAAACACGTAAGATATATGATTGTTGCGATTGATAAATATGCTTTATCTCCACAATATTTGGGGTACTGAATCATTAATGTTGTTTGGTATATGATGAATCCTCGCCACACTAGCGCCGATATACACTGTAAGTTTCCACTTGGCGGGCGAGTGCCCAAATTCGTGCCATTCGAGTTGAGCTGGTCATCAAACACCTTTCTTTCCGTCTCATTGTGTAGCTCATCGCGGCTTCAACCTTCTGAGCCTTATCTTGTCAATTTGATTATTTCCTGAGTCGTGCGTCTTCCCGCGCGCTGATGTGCTTTCGTTCAAGTCATGTTGATCCTTGCCTTATCTGTGATCACAGACCCACCATCACTGTCCTCCTCGCATGATTGTACTCCTATCACTATACGCATGCTGCCCGCCCTGCCTTGGTAAGTAGGACAACAATCATGTCTCTTGACTCCATGTATTCGATCTTGAGCTCTCCTGTAATGTTTCGCTATCGCGAGCCTGCGGAAATGTCAACCACATCTTCGAGATCGGTGCACACAAAATTCTAGAGTCTGGATTACTCATGCAGCACCTAATATGCAAGGCCAAAACGAATACAGCTTTCTTAGTCCGCTGTGGCCTCCCAATCTACTCCTTGCACATGCATTGTACAACAGCACGTATCAATAATTTCTTCTGTGGCTGGCTTTCTGTAGCAACTTATCTATCGCGATGTTTGCGTCGCCACAGCTGCACGACTCGACAACCAGAGAAAAGCGTCTCGTTGCGTGTAAGCCATGTCAAGCACATGCTATAGGGTTTTTCAC